CAAGCAAGCTAAAACAGTTCATAACCAGCATAATCTAACTATGTTTTAGTCAATTTTTAACTTCAAGGGTTACCACTCTGTTGTGTAGTCCACTGAGTATGTCCCTCATTTGCTGTTTCCAGTGGCTTTACATGTGTGTAGTGAATCCGCACAGTTTTTCCTGCTACCTTGATGGCAGTGGGGGTACTGAGCACCACGGTGAAAGGTCCTTCCCAGTGGGGTTCGAGGGAGTCATGGTGATGACATCCAACCAAGACTGGAGTCCTTGAGGCCTTGGTCTCTGAAGGCAGGTCTAAGTGTTTTTGTCTAAACAGCTGGTGGATCCAGGCCAACACAGGTTGGAGTGTCTGTAGGGACTTAAGATCTCAATTAGTAATTTTAGCTTATTTGTCTTCCGACAATCTTGGAACCAATGGCGAGGGCCTCCCAAACATGGCTTTAAAGGAGGAAATTTTAGAAACATATGGGGTATATCTAGCTCTTAACAGTGCAAAGGGAAGAAGGCTCATCCAATTATCGCCAGTTTTTGAAGACAGCTTAGCTAAAATGTCCTTGAGACTTTGGTTTATACGTTCTATTTGCCCTGAGCTTTGTGGCTGATAGGCACAGTGGAGTTTTAATTAATCTTTAATGCCTGGGCTAACTTTTGGGTGACTCGGGCTATGAAAGCCAGGCCATTATCGGACCCCATTGATAGTGGGAGGCCAAATCAAGGTATGATCTCATGCGATAGCCTTTTAACTACCACTAAGGCTGACTCAGACTTAGTAGGGAAAGCCTCTACCCAGCCAGTAAAAATGTTTATTAATATCAAGAGATAGTGGTGTCCCTGTAAATTAAGTTTTACCATGTCCATGAAGTCTACTTTATAATGTTTTCCTGGAACAATTTTTTGATGTTGGGTGGTCTCCAGCGCAGAGCTCTTGGCTGAGTTGACTAACAAGCACTGTGGGCATCTGGAGCTCGAAGAGGTGGTCAGTTTGTAGAGTTTTGGAATAAAATACTGAGTTCTGGACAAATCCACAAGTTTAGGTTTTTTTTTTTTTTTTTTTTTTTCTAAACGAGTAGTCTGGCGAGCCCGGTATAACAGCTCCTGCCCTAGTGTCTCCAGTAACCGTACTTGTATATCAGGTAACTGGTATTAGCCCCTTAGGGTGGGAGACTTTATTCCAAGTTGAGATGCCAACTGTAGGTCTTTCTTTGTGTAGACTGGTTCTGACAAGGTCAGAGGACTAGTATCAGAGCAGTTACTTTCTTGGTTGACCCCTCTGATGTGGTTGCTATTTTTTTTAAATGGCTTGATCTGCCAAACTGTTTCCTAAGGTGACAGCGTCATCTCCTGTCTGGTGAGCCTTGTAATGAATAGCAACCCATTGAGGGAGCCAGACAGCTGTCAGCAAGTCTAGAATCTGTGGAGCATTTTTAGATGGCTTCCACGTATATGTACAGTAGCAAAGGGATATCTTCAGTAAAAAAATGTTTACCCTCTTTTCCGTGGCTAGTTTTAGCCTCTCAGTCAAAGCAACAAGCTCCGCCTTTTGGGCAGAAGTGCCAGGCTCTACCCGCTTAACCCAGAGTACCTCCTTTTTGGTGGTCACTGCTGCCTCGGCCACTCGTTTGCCGTTTTGGATGAAGCTGCTTTCATCGAACAGTTGTCGGCATTTCCCAAAAGCTGGTCAGTAAGATCAGCCTGTAGGTTCTGCTGCAGTTCGAGGATGTCAGCACACTCATGGAGAGGTGTTCTTTGTTCCTCCGGGTTATCATCAGGCATAAGGGTGGCTGGGTTTAAAGCTGAAGAAGTCTTGAATATCATTGACTCTGGGTCTAGAAGCAGGGCTTGACAGTAGAATTCTGGCATTTGAGAGCCTTTTTTCAGGAGGGGTTTTGATAAGAGTCTCTAAACTGTGAGAGGTTACCACAGAAATCACTTGCCCAAAGCGTGTTTCTTCGCTTCCTTAAGTAACATTGTCACAGTAGCTAGTATTTTAAGGCAGGGGGCCATACTCCTGTTACTGGATCAAGTCTTTTGGAGAGGTAGGCTATAGGCCTCTTTTAAGGGCCAATGTCCTGAGTTAGGACTCTTTTGGCAATGTCCCTGAGTTTATCTATGAACAAGATGAAAGGCTTGGTAACGTCAGGGAGTCCCAGGGCTGGGGCCTCTGTCAAGGCCCGCTTGAGCTGTTGGAAGGCCTGTTTATATTTATCAGTCCAGTTCAGCGAATTTTGAGTTTCTCCCTTATGGGAGTCATATAGAGGCAAGCTTTTCAGTAAAATTTAGCCTACAGTATCCAACTGCCCCCAGAAACTCTCGTCTGTTTTTTTAAAAGTTTTTTCTCATAGAGAAATTTTAACACCTTGGCTATCTTTTTGTAAATTTTTTAGTTCTCAAAGACCTTTTTGTGCTATCTCTATTAACTGGCTGAGGGGCATTTCCTTAAACCTCTCAAACCTTTGTAATTTTTGTCTAACATGTGGGGCCGACTGAGTTACAAAGAGAACAACTGGCGATACTGGGAAACCTCCTTACCTCTGGATGTCCAGTCAGGGTGGCACAAAAGGAGAAAATGGTTTTGGCATTCTGGATCAGAGAGCCGGCTTCATCTGGATGGCACACTGTTTTTTGTCCAAGGGTGTCACGTGGCAGGCCATCATTTTACTAAAATTATATTCTTAACAAAAAGGGCTTTTTCACAGGTAACAAAATTGTGCTGTATAATCTCCCAGATGTTTACAGCACATGCAAGAACTTGTATCTTATTTCTAGTATCACCTATAATCTCATTTTAATGAAAACATTTTGCAGCAAAGTATAATCTTATGTATACTTTTACCAAAACTGATCTAATGCTGTCAAATTCTGAACACATTTACTTCTTGTCAAACCTGTTATTTGCAGTACTATAAACCAAGACAAATAAAATTCACATCCTCTTGAGCCTTCTACAACTTACAATATACCTCCCAAGTTAAGCTTTAATCTTTTTCTACATTCTGGCATAGCCAGACACCTTTACTTGAAGACCACTCTCTTTGTCCCTCTTTTTACTATTACCAGTCAATTCCCTTTTTTCTCACTTCTCAGACAACATCAAAACTCTTAACAAAACCCTTGAAGTCACCTTCTAGTAGTCCAAAACATACTTATTTTATGTCTTTTTACCACATAAAAATGTTGTATTTTAAAAACAAAACTGTAACCTTTTAACTGGCTCAAATATAGTACCGCCTGGCAAAGTTGATATGATTCTTAATAACCATAGATATACATATATATGTGCACATGTTTACATTTTCACCAGAGAGAAAAAATACTCCTTTTAAAAGGCATGCCGAGGTTGCAAGCAATCAATTGAAGTCTTACATATTAAACAAGGTGTCACAACATTAAAGACACAAACAAAGGGAGCTTCTTGCATAGTTTGGTCAGCTAAAGGAAATAATTTTTCTTATCATGAACCTTGAATCTAATAAGCCATATGGATCCTGCAACAGAAATGGGCAACAAGCCCCTAAGTTAGTAACAAGTTTAAACAGGCAACCAAGGAGAGGGCGGAGGAAGGAAGGGTTTTACCCATGGTGGGGGCTCTTCCCTGAGGTCCTGCCATGCCAAGATGTAGGCGACCTGGTCGGGGTGGCCCTCTCGTCCGGGGCGGAAGATGATGTTCTTGACTGCTAAGATGAGGGGAAGGTGGAAAGTCCCCTCCGGTGGCCAAGCCACGGAGAATGTGGGCCACTCAGACGAGCAGAAAGTCTGCCATTTACTTTTTTTAACCTGTAAGGAGAGATTGTGAGCCCTCTCTCGAACCTCCGACCAATGGTCAAGGGTGAGGGACAATGGGGACGATGTCGTCTGTCCCATGATGTTCTGAAGACAAAGAGTGGTTAGCGTACGCGCGACACAACAAATAACCGATCACAACAGTCACAACACACAGGACAAACAGGCCGGCCACCTCACTCTCACGCATTAGTTTCACACCAAACGAGTCACCTTAGGGGGTGCCTCCAGATTGGCCCGGACAGACCACAGATTGGGAATGAAATTCCCCAGATTGGCCCAGACGGACCACAGATTGGGAATGAAATTCCCCAGATTGGCCCAGACGGACCACAGATTGGGAATGAAATTCCCCAGACCGATAGGAAAATCCTATCGCAGACGGTGAGTCACGGAAAACCGTGTGGGGCGTCCCCCGATCACCCAAGAACAGAATTTGCCCCTGAAGTAGAGCCGGAGTTCGGCCTGGGGCGAAAGGAAACGGCAGATCGATCCAAAATGAAAGTAAACAAAAACCGGCCGTACTACTTACCCCAGAGAGGTGCCATTGGGGTCTCCCTCTGCGAGGAGGTCTTATCTCAGTTTGATCTCGCTGGGACCTCCAAAATGTTAGACCGGTGTCGCAAGGAAGACTCCAAGGGCCTCGCTCTCATGTAAAAACAATGGGGTTTTTATTATTCCGTGTACACGGGGTCCTCCAAACAGGTGGAAACGGAGAACCCTGAGTTGGGGCAAGGCTGGTGTTTTTAAGGATGAAAACCGCAAAGCAAGCGAGGTTACAGAAGCAGATCGCATTGGTTAGTTTTGAACGGCGCAGGGCTTGGCAGAAGCTGATTGGAGGGGCCCAGGGTTGGGTAACTATGGTGTCCGGGGGTCCTAGCCCGGTCACTGTGTTCCCAGAACTGTTACTTATCTTGCCTAACTCACTGAAACAGAACATCCTGTGGTTTTATGACCAACGGAAAGTCCCTTCTTGCTTTGTACAGATAGCTCGGGGGTTGCAGCTGTAAAGTTAACTCTTTCAGTACAATCTAATACAATCTGATGCAATTAACACAATTTGTGATGGGGCTACCAGATAGGGAAGACTCAGGATGTCAGGAGCTATTACCTCAGGCCCTTGTTTTATGGCCTTTGGGAAGTTAAAACTTAACCTAGTTGGATTTGAAGGGAGAAGGGGAGGGGAAGCAGCAGATGGAACGAGCTTTCTTGGTCTCTTCACCTCCAATAATGATTTAGGGAGGACTGATTCTTTTTCAATTTCATTGAAGAGTTTAAGGAGTGTTTGATTTAAATCTTCTCTAAATTTCTTATAGAATTCAGCCATGAATCCATCAGGACCTGGTCTTTTCTTTGTTGGTAAGTTTTTAATCATATTTTTTATTTCAGTAGCTGATATTGGATTATTAAAAATTGCTATATCTTCTTAATTGAGCTCTGATAGTTCATATGTTCTTAGAAATCTGTCCATTTCCTCTGTGTTTTCTACCCTATGTGAGTAGAGATTTTTCTAAGTAGGTGTTCATGATCTTTTGAATTTTCACAGCATCTGGGGTAATTTCCTTCTTTTCAGTCCTTACTGTGTGGATTTGAGATTTTTCTTCCTTTTTTTTGATAAAGTTGGCCAGGGGTTTATCAGTTTTGTTTATTCTCAAAAAACCAGCTCTTTGATTCATTAATTCTTTGTATTGTCTTTTTAGTTTCAATTGCATTAATTTCTGCTTTGATCTTTACAAGTTCCTCTCTTCTATGAGCTTTGGGTTTGACTTGCTCTTCCTTTTCTAGAAGCTGAGATGTAGCATTAGGTTATTTATTTGTGTTTGTTCCATTTTCTTTATGTTACTATTTATTGCTATATATTTCCCTCTTAGTACAGCTTTCATTGCATCTCGTAGGTTACGGTATGTTGTATCTGCATTTTCATTGTATTATAGGTATTGTTTTATTTTTTCTTTAATTTCACCTATAACCCACTGGTTATCACAAAGTTGTTATTTTCATGTATTTATGCAGGTTTTTTTGCTATTGATTTCCAATTTTAGTGCGTTATGATCAGATATTATGCATGGGATAATTTCAATACCTTTGCATTTGGTTAAGAATGCTTTATGTGTTAATATAGGATCTATTTTGGAGAATGTCCCATGTGCAGCTGAGAAGAATGTATATTCTGATGTGGTTGGGTGGAACACTCTGTAAACATCCACTAAGTCCATTCACTCACAGGTATGATTCAGTTCTATTATTTCTTTGCTGACTTTTTGTCTAGTTGATCTATCTCTTTGTGACAGTGGGGTGTTAAGGTCTCCTATTACAATTGTGTTCTTGTGTATTTGGTTTTTCATGTCCATTAGTATCTGCCTTATATAGTTGGGTGCTCCTGTATTTGGTACATATAAATTTATAATTGTTAATTATTCCTCTTGTACTTTTCCACTTACAAGTATGTAGTGGCTTTCTTTATCTCTTTTAATCATTTTAGGTTTAAAGTTCACATTGTCTGCAAACAGAATAGCTAGCCCTGCTCTTTTCTGGGTTCCTGTCACATAGAATACTGTTTTCCACCTTTTGACTTTTAATCTATAAGTTTCTTTTTGGGTCAGATGTGTTTCTTGTACACAGCATATTGTGGGATCCTGTTTCTTGATCAATTCTGTCAACCTATTTCTTTTGATAGGTGAATTGAACCCATTTACATTTGTGGATATCACTGATATGTACTGGCTCGACTTTGTCATGTTGTGTTCCTGTTGTTAGTTTCCTGCTCTTCTCCCTTGTTTATTTTCTTGTCCAGCTTGGTGGTTTTTCTGTTGTTGTTCTGGAGATTGTGGTCATTTTTATCTCTATCTAGTGTGTCTTTCAGTACTCTTTCTAGGGTTGGTTTGGTGGACATGAAATGTTTTAGTTGTTCTTTGCCATGAAAGTATCTTATTTCTCCATTAAATTTGAAAGACAGTTTTTCTGGGTACATCAGTCTGGGTTGAAAGTTGTTTTCTTTGAGGGCTTGAAATACTTCGCTCCAAGCTTGTCTTAACTTGAAGTTTGTGCTGAAAAGTCTGCTGTGATTCTGCTAGGCTTTCCTTGATAGGTGAGCTGTGTCTTTTCTTTAAAAGCTTTTAGTATTCTGTTTTTATGCTGTATATGGATCTTAATTGTTATATGTCCGGGTGTAGATTTATGTTGGTTGTAACTGTCTGGCATTCTGTATGCCTCACTTATTTGTATATCAGATTTTTCCCTATGTATGGGAAATTTTCTGCTATTACTTCTGTGAATAGTTTAATTATGTCATTTGCATTGACTCCTGCATCTTCACTGATGCCTATTAGTCTGAAATTGCTTCTCTTGGCATCATCTTGAAGCTGCTCGATTATCATTTCATGCTGCTTTGTTGTTTTTATAAGTCCTACCCTTTCATGATTGTTATCTGTGGTCCTGTCTTCAAGGTCTGAAATTCTATCCTCAGCTTCATTTAAGTGGTTTTGCCAGCTTTCAGTAGAGTTTTTTTTTGTTTCTTAGGTCTCTTTGAATTTGTTTCATGGATTCTGCTTGTTTTCTGCATTGTTCATTTAAAGTTTCAATTAATTTCCCAGGCTCCTGTATTTTTTTTTATCTATTTCTTCTCTAGCTATATTGAGCAACTTATTTTCTAAGGTTGTTATTTCTGTCTTTATGTAAGACATTATTTCTAATTTGATTTCTTCTATAGCCTCATGGATTTGTCTCTTTACTCCATTCATGATCTTTTCAGAGATTCCTGGTGTATGACTTTTAAAGTTCTCTATTTCAGTGTTGCCTGTACTTGCTTCTGATGGACTAGATATTTGAGATTGTATTTTGCCTTTTTGTCTTGTCATTTTCACCTTTTGGGTAAATATTTGGTCTTTCAATCCCAACAGTCTCAACTGTCCATAGTGTGAATTTTAGGGTCCTACTGTGTGGTTGATGTTTGTCCAATTGCTGGGTACTAAAATGTAGAGGAGAGCCAGTCACCTTAATTCCTCTTGCAAGGGCCTATTGTTTGAGTCCTGTATTCTTTCTTGGCTAACTAGCCTAGAAGTATTGATGTAGGTCAACTCTTACTTCCTCCTATTGCTATGTCTTCAGGTTGTTGCAGGTCATGAGATCTCCCTGTGTATAGTGTTTGTGTCATTTGAGGCCCTACTGTGTCACTGGGGGTCTCATAATCTCTTTTTAATTTTCTCCAAGTTGGTGGATGCCTTATTGGCTCACTCCTCAACCTGTCTGATGTTTTCTGTATAGAGGAGGGGCTTACCCACTTTCTTGCCAGGTTTTTCCAGGTCTTACAGTTGGAGGGAGTTTTACTTCTGCTCCTACTTACCCACTGCAGACCTCTATTTTAGGGGCAAACTCATCAAACTGACTAGAGCCTGATGAGGTCTTCTGTTTGGGTGAAGGGTCTCCCATCCAGCCAGCACGGTAATCCACTGTAATCCAAGGTTCTGGTAGAAGATCAACTGCAATACTAGGTCCAGGAGGTGGATGGGTTCCTCAAGGGACAGGCCCAGGGTAGCAGTTTGAGGCAGCTCAGTCATGCCATGGGTGTTCCAGGTGTTCCTTCAGGCGGGCCCAGTGGCAGCAGTCTAAGGCGGCTAAGTCCTGCTGGGGCCTCCCGGGTGTCCACAGCTGAGGGCTTTGTCATCAAATATTAGTGAAGGGAATTGATCCCCCATGTCAGCCAAATTTTTGTCTTTATATAGAGACAGAGTATCAAATCACACTGCTCAAGACAAGACACCTGCTGGTGAAACTATGAGTTTTTTATTCCTTTCATCTTCCTAATACAGTTTTATTAGCAGTAAACTCTCTCTCTCTCTCTCTCTCTCTCTCTCTCTCTGTCTCTTGCTTTCTTACTGGAGTCTGAATCAAGCAGTCAGCAAAAGATGGACTGTCCTCTCAGATTCATCTTATTTCCAGCTTCCAAACAACAGCATATTTATGACTTCATTTCCTAACAATTGCTCCACATTGGACCTAATTTATTTGGCATTACATTTAAAAATAACCTGGTGGTGTTGAAATACCACTTCATAAGTTTCCTTAAAGTTAACATTACACACAATTCTTTAATTTTCCTGTAGAACTTCACACAGGTATTTAACTCTTAATCATTGCTGTATCCTGACAAGAAGATAATAGTGAAACCTTTCTTGGAGCAGTATTATCCTACCTGGATTATATGTAATATTTTTATAAAATCTAGATGTACCAAGGATGTTTTCAAAGAAAACAGTGATTTAGAAATAGTGATTTAGAACATTCACTATTCTAATGTATTTTTATGCATATGAGTGTCTTGAAGTAGATATTTGCTTTTTATCTACCTTTTTTCCCATTAAATATTGAAATTAAGATAGGCTCTGAAAATCTTTTGTGGCATCTTCCAAAATGAATAAAACTTCCCAGGTAAACAAAGGCTGTTTTTTACCCAAATCTTAAAGAGCCATATGCATCTATCTACTCTGATAATAATCCGATACATTTTGTCCACAGAGTGCTATGTAATCATCAATATTAATCAGATCATTAGGAGTATGGGGCACCACACAATCAAATGTCTCCAGACTTCTTTTTCTGATAACTACAATCAGGAAAGCATATGGTGTATGGGTTTTGGTAATCATCCAGTTAAACATCAGTCTTTAATATGATTTCTCAGTTCATTAATTATCAACAGATCTTTCTTCAAAGTTGGTGAGTCATTTAGTTTTCTGATTTTCAGGTTGTCTTTAGCACAACAATATCACATTCTTTTGAAGAAAATTGTCTTGCCACAGCCCCAAGAACTTTTTTTTCAATCTCTCCTTCACATTTCAGAAGCAGGAAGGTCATCAAAGTTAAACCTTACTAAGCTCAGCTCATGGAATTTTCAGTGACAATGCTTGGGATAAAAATGATTTTGGAGTTATGCTATTTCCTGCATTTTTCATATTCTGGTAAAATGACTACTGTGATTAACAGAGCATAATTAGATGTCTGTCATCAGCTGCAATATTTACTGGGGCTCATGGTTACCTAATCAGGGCATTTTTCCTTCCTGCTACTTCCACGGGATACAGACAATTAATAGCTGACCCTCCCTCTTTGTTATCTGTCCAGAAATTTCAACTATAATAACCTGATCATCAATTGTTTGCTTAACAGATATTTCAGTGCTAGACCCACTGTGCATATGGTACATAGTTACAGTTTCTGTTTCCAACATGAGACACATACAGAAAGGTGGGCACAATATAGCTTGATAAATACTCAACTAGGCAAAATGTGAAGCACATTCAAAGGTGACCTGGTTCAGAGCTGGAGAGTTATGGTCAGCATCACAATGGAAGTGACATCTTTGGTGGTCAGGCCATACTATTGTAACAAAAAGCTACTGCATCTCAGGTGCTTACTCAGTAAGTTTATTTCTTATGTTCAATCATAATTCCTTTGTCACAACTAGTCTCATGGCCCCACTGAGCAGCAATGGGGCTAGGAGGTAATTTCTACATGCTCAATCAAGAAGGAGTGAAACAAAATTTGAATGCTTAGAATTGTGCCTGCCATAGTCTGTTTCCTGGCCACTGTCCTGTCCTTCTTCCACATGTAGAACTTACTACACATAAATAAGATCAATATCCCAAGCAGTGCCAGCATCAAACACTTAGCCCAGAGTCTTTGAATAAATCATACATGAATGCAAATTTCCTTGGTATGAAGACATATAGACTAAAGAGAGAAGTATCTCTCTTTTCAATATGTGATTGTATAATAGAGCAAGAAAAACTACAATAAATATTTTATTTAGGAAGTAGATCAATAGGCAATGTGTAACAGTCACTAGTCTACAGCAATTAAGAAATCTTACTGGGCAGTCTTTCTGGGGTTGCTTTAACCTGGGCCACTAATTCTTATGTGCTTTTCTTTTTCTTCTTTTTTTTTCTTGTTACTGGGGATCAAACTCATGACCTTTCACTTGCCAAGCAGGTACTTGTGCTACTGAGCTATATCCAGCCCTGGGCCACCAATTCTTAACCAGGGGGCAATTTTACCTCCTAGGGCACATTTGACAATATCTGGAAACATTCTGATTGTTACGGATGTTACTGGTACCTAGTGTGGGGAAGGCCCCTGTCTTAGTTACTTTATGCTCGTCGGTGAGACAAAATACCTGATGCCCAAGTTGGGAAAGGAAAGGTTTATTTCTTACAGTTTTTGGAGGTTTC